ACAATCAGTCTTGTCATCTTTCGTTCATCAATGCGTTTTACCCATTCTACTTTATTGCCCTCCTCTAGCGTTTCCCGGCCTTTTAAAACATGACTTCAAAACAATTCACCGCGGTTTGGTGATAATCAGTCGTGTATCACTAATCCCAATTGATTTATTATTCACAGATCTCATTGATAGTCACATCAACTCTTGTTTTAAATTTTCTCACGAGATTCTAGATGACCATCTTCATCTTTAGAGTATCAAGCTTGGATTCGAGTCCTGACAGGGACACAAAAAAAGTACGCACCACTGACGAGTCCCAAACAGGACGAAACAGCTGTCCAGTGCTNGGTTATCACAAATATTTCCATCGCATTTAGACCCTCTTCATCTACTACACCCTGATCTATCGTCTTGTCGTTCCCATCCGTCCACACGCTCCTCATTTCGGCAGCTACCCTCTCGCATTAACATTTATAAAAATTCCCCTGTATCCTACCTGGCCCGACTACTCACCAAAAAGGAACAGATCTCAAATGAACTAAGTCAAATGCTTTGTACATGGTACGTATATCACCGACCTTCTTTACCCTTTGTTTTGATTATTTTTATTTCACTCTGCGTGACGAACAATGTACATTTTTAACTGAAATGTAAGCATACATGCTTACACAAGTTACAAATACAATACAATACAATAGTGTTTCACGGTGATCATAGAACAATTGGATACTAAGGCTTACAGTGTTTGATCGTCGACGGATCGAGACACCAGGATGGTTGGAGATAGCTTTGCATTTTCTCGCACCTTTAAGTGCAGAACGTCCAAATGTTTTAAGTCTGGTTTCTCTGAGTGGCCAGCGTATAATAGCAGGCAAAAATGACCATCCGGATGAGCATTTAAAGGACAAATATTAAGCTGTACGTGCCAACACCTTCCGTGTCAGCTAAGCTCTCTACCTTTAGAAGCATCTGGCGCATAGATGGATATGAAGGGGCACGAATGTGAAACGCGCGATCGTGTACTGACATGCTCGCATTGTGCAAACGAGAAAATAAGAGAGAATTGATTGTTTGATAAACAATCTTTTGGTCGATATTGATCAAGGTCACAAGGTTTGAATCATGTTCTAGCCTGCCTGGTCAGTTGTGTGAATGACTTTACTCCGTTCACGTTTTCTGTCGCTGGACTGTGCACGTGAAATGCAGTCTGGTTTTGTTTGACTCTTTCACATCTCTGAAACTGGTTGAAAAATGTAGTTTACGAAGCCTTTTCCGAAATACTTTTGTTCATTGTTAGCCTAATACCAAACCGGAGGATGCAGAGCTCAATCAAAAGCTCCGCAAGCTCAGGAGATTACATATATCCTCAAAACATTTACCCGCTCTAGTTGGGCTAGATTGTTTGACTGTCGAACTGCTTCGGTTCACGGTGTATTGTTTGAACGCCGCTTAGGTCACAAAATCCACTTCAACGCAAACCCATTCAAACGATTAATAGCGAGTCCGTTGCACTGAGTGCTGACAAAGGTTTAACGGAAATGGATGCGCCATTGATCATAGCTTTTCCACCTTTACACTACTTTATCCTTTCGCAGTTGGCTTGGTGAATCAGCCCATAGGGAAACGTGGGAATGGAAAATGTTGGTTTCCGCTGTATGAGCCAATCACCACTTTTTTGTACCAAGGACACTTCTTCATTCTTGCCGCAACCAATTGCTATCTAAGACGGATAGTTCTATTCAGTAACGGGTACAATTCGCATAACACATCACAATCTGTTTTAAGGCCATCAATCACAGAAATCCATCGGATTCCTTGGGAGTTGCCAGTAGTCATTTATTCAATGCAGTTTTGACTATCTGTTTGGGGTGCACCGACTAGTGGACCGTTCCCCTGCCCACGTTTTGACCGTAATTTATAACACTGATATCAATGTGGAGTGACAACGAAAACCAAAAGTAACTGCCCTAATCATTTCGTTGTACTTCGAATGCACTGGTTATGGTTCACACTCTTCCTCTACCGAATAACATTTCCGTTCAGGCACTAGTCTGAATAAATCAGAGTATGATTAAATCAAGGTTTTTACATCGATTATATAGTGTAAGCAAGGAGAAGCGGTTGGAACTCAGAAACTTTACTAGAGAAATCATTTTTGGCCAAATTCTCGACTGTGATGGTCAGCCGCTGCCGGTTTCCTCATCAGATGTAATATTCATAGTATTCGTGTCGATTTCCCAAAGTTCGGAGACTGTGCTCTCAAATCTGTGTGAATTAGTATTTGCCATGAAGGGTCCTTTGTGAATATTGCCCTTTTATTTTGATCATTTGTGCGTCGATCGCATTCTGTAAACCTATGTTAAAATAACGCATTCGCTATAAGACTAGCAACCATCTCCCTTGGTTATTACTCCTTCAAACACACAGTTCTTTCGACAGTTATCCATTACATATTTTCGCCAGCTGATGGAAAATTCTAATCCTAACCAATAAAAGCGTTGACGACGTAAATTGGAACATCAAGTGCATTCAGATGTAAGTGCTGAGTGGACTTAACTTCCTGCTTTGATTTCCGGATTGGGAAATTTTTTGGCAAATTTCCATATATTGAAACCCAGTTAAATATGTTTATTTAGATCTATCATGAGATAGTTAAGTAGCTGTAAGACACTTTACTCGAGACTAGCCATCGATCAACAAAATGGATCTTTCAAACTACAGCAAAGGCAAACAGATGTGTGCCTATTGCAGAGTTCACACTTAAAGTGAATAATAATACCTATAAACGTTGTCCCTTTATTACAGCGACCAAAATTGACTTCATATAATGCAGTTGCTTCTTTTATACCGTAAATGGAAGCGTACTACACACAATTTGCATGTGGATTTCGAAAACAACTCCGCATCCGAACAAATCTGGTATAACAGGAGTTGAGAACCACGATGGCTGGAGGTTTCATCGAAATGAACAATAACTTTAGTACGAGAATGATGATTAGATCGCACAACGTTCCCCGGCTAATACTCCACCTGATCGATGTCTAAACACATTCAGTCATCATTTCCGCACATGTTTATGAGTGTTTTCGTATACACGTATAGACTTCATCACATGACGGCTTCTGCAGTTCCGGTAATACTGTCTCTTTTTACTATGGATATGCCATTTCATGCTTAAAAATAAAAACAAAAAACCGCCAAATTGGATATGGCTACTGGTTTTGGATAAACAACGGAACAGTGCCTGAAGAGCTTATTGTTTTATTCACAGTGGACCAGTGCTGTTTTAATCACCCAATTGACTGTAAACCACCGGAAAGGTGGTGATTGGTGAGCATAGCATAACATAATGCACCATTATCTCGTTTTTTATATTGTCTAAATTGAACGCGCATACAAACACATACTATTCCTCCCACCCTAAGTGGATATGACAATATCACACTAAAGGATGCACCAGAATATATGAATCTAGGTCCATACCCGTCCACAGCAATATTAAAGCTATTTCAGTGACTCGCCTCGGATTGAGTAAACCACATTTAAAACCAAAACCAAATGTGCAAAATGTTCTTATTCCATCTTTATTGCCTGATTTGCGCATCGTGCCCACAAGCACGTATGTTTCCGGCTAACATCCATCGTGTAGCCATTTTGAGTTGTGTGTGTGCAGAGTAGACAGCAGTCTGATAAAAAATAACCTTTACGCTTAAAATCTGGTCCATTAATCTAAAGCAGGATGCAGAAATGAGGTGTACAAATTTAGCGGTTCCAGGGAGACGAGTGGCGGGGGGGGTGCTTGAGTCATTTTGAGCAGACAACTTACACGGAAATTTTCCGCTCAAATAAACGAAACAAGCAAACAAATTAGTGTTTACGCGTGCCACAGAAAACGTGTCAGTGTGGAGTCGACGAACGTTGAAATATGACACCAACTATCCCGCTCTCTCGCGCTCTATAATTATTCTTACGGTGGTATTTTGAACTGTGATGACTCCATAATCCACTCACATCTATCGAGCCTGTTCAAGGTGAGCGAAGCTGATTAAATCAGTCACATCATCCGGCAATCGATTGAATTCCACAAATTTCACAGTACTGCACTAATTATTATTAATCTATTGGAAACTGTCAAATCTATGAAAGGCTTCTTCATGTTTTCAGATAGTTTCACGTGGCTTCAGATCTTTGTATGGCTGCTTCAAACTTCTGTTGTTGTTTTTACGTTTTTATTTTACAATTTTCTCTGGTATTCCCCATGTGTACATCTGCCAAGCTCATAGGAACCCCAATGAGATTCTTTCATAGCGGGTCCAACCGCCCAGAGGATTTCGGTCTAACAGCTCACGTTCTGTATTATTTAATCATGCACACATTCATACAAAAACATCCCCTGTATTTCCGCCGGCAACGGCCTATCCATCATATTTTCCACTTGGTAGACGGCAAATCCATTAAAACGAGTCAGAAAAAGACAGATCACTGACAAGGCCTGCGTCACAACTTACATGTCGCACTGTCCGCCAATCGTCGAACTTGATCTGTCAAGTAGAGCAACAGCTTCCCGTCAGAAGTTTTAATCGGTAAGTCCAAAACCACGGTCACATTTTGAAGAGTCATCTGTCCGCGGTTTTCAATCAGGAACAAGTGCTCTACTTTAGGGCCAATCTCATGCGAGAATACTTTGGACATGGGTGGCTCTGTCAGTAAGCGGGTGGAGAATAAACAAAGAAGAAAAGAAAGGTAGAATGTGGCGGCTTTTGAAGAGAATGCGTTATGGGTTTATCCATTTGCAACTGCTTACAATTGCCTAAGAACTAATTTGAAAATCAATGTATAACATTCAAGAGATGATGCACGGTTCAATGAGCAACATTGAAATTAATAAGGTTTCATTACATATTTCTTATTTCAAATGATCTTTAATATATTCATTGGATTAATCAGGTGAATTTTTATTTGTTTGTGAATCAATGTTTTATCTCATTTCCATCTTTTAATTTTGTATGGCTGAAGAATGATATACTTTGTGTATACCACTAACATGAAATCACTAGCTGAGAGAAAAATACCCCCTTTGCTGCATTTATTGAGGTGAGGGGGAAACTTCTAACAGAAACATATGGATCTAAGTTGAAAATTGTCTGTAAACTCCTATTCAGGACACCAGACAATCAGAATGGAGTTCAATATTCAAATTGGCACATGTTTATTGTAAGATCTCAACGATCACCCGCGAAATTTATGCCATATGAACAGAGTTAGAAGCTCAAGAAAAATTCAGAAAATGAGTATTGACGAAGATAAAATACTCAAGAAGAAAGATACGTTCTCAAAGTGTTTGTTCGCAATGACTACCCCCGCAACTTCGTCCAAAGAACTCTGGCTCAAAGAAAGAAGGAAACAACAGACGGAGAATCGGGAACAAGAACTGCCCTACCGTAAATCAAAGACGTTTCGGAAATGACAGCAAGACTGCTCAGATCATATGGAATCCAAGTCGCCCACAAACCGATCGTCTGTCTAAAGGGACTTATGTCAAAACCCAAAGAGAGAGCAATGGAAAAGGACAAGAGCAGTGTTATCTACAAAATAAACTGCAAGAGCTGACCCAAACACTACATCGGGCAAACGGGGAGAAAACTGTCAACAAGCATCCGTGAACACCAATCGGCAGTCAAGAGAAATGACCCCGTATCGTTGAGTTCCCTCCACGAAGATCAAGGACATTAATTTAACTTTGAATCAGTGAGAATTACCGACCAAGTCCGGTCAAAACACGCCAGAGAATTTCTCGAGCCTTGGCACTCTTCAATCAACTCAATAAACAAGCACACCGAACTGGATCACTGGTACACGCCAATGTAACTCAATGACCAAATTGCACAACAAAAAGGTCTCGCCTTGACCTGAAAACGGACGGAAAGCGCAATCAGGACGAAAGAACAACCTCCTCCCATCCCACCCTCACCCCCTCGCACCAGTTCAACAGCAAACCGAGTAGAACGCAATGAGAACAGGGGACAAGAATAGCCGGTGGAGAAGAACACATAAACGAACGGGTAAAATCAGAACACTGCCACTTCATAAGCACTGACGGTATCACCTCGGCTGGCGATGAAACGTTTGCAAACAAATTGCCAAGCTCGGCGAACAGGCGAAATGGAATTCAGTTCACCCGAGCTACGAAAACTGATTTTCAATATTTTGTCAACAGATAACAATGTGTCCTGATGAGAAAGAGCCGCATAACTCCTGATTGCGGAGACGGGACGAGAATACGTTTTACATGTGTGGCTAGGTTATGAGAAATGAGTGATTTTTCTGCTCTCTTACTACCTAGATACATGGACTGTAAATAATTGTGTGAGAAAGAAGGTTGACGTAAATGAGACTGAAACACTCGAACCACTAGGGAATGAGCATGTGGTGTATATCACTTGACAATCATTGCTAGATCTGTGATTAACTCAAACAGTTGTCATTTCTAGGCAATCATATAACCGATTAGCTTGTAAAAGGTCGCTTTATTAATGTAATGATTGGGTTTGACTTAGTAGTTCGTGGGTTGAACTCAGAAACATTCAGAGTATATTTAATCGATAACTTACATGCGAAATAGCATGAGGCTCAAAACCATAGTGCGAAATTGTACATCTATCTATGAATATGATCACCACTTGTCTATCAGGTATAGCCCAAATGAGTATCCACTCATAGGCTGCTGAATTATATAACTTTTCTATGCCATATAATGTATTACTTTCACTATACCTTGCATTCTTGATTAAATGAACTAAAACATTTGTACACAGCGGAAAAGGCAATACAATTGCACAGGCGCAGATAAATACCTTCATCAAAATCATGATAAAAGATATACGTTTCCACTTTTGAGGTAGAGACGCAAGGGTCATCCTAAGTTAAGGACTTTCTTATTCACCTGATCCCTTCATTCAATGTATTTCAAAATAATGTGCGGTGGCTTTACGTTTCGCTCATAAGGAAAGAACAGAAAAAGTAAACCGGAACTGCCTTGACTTTTTTCCTAATCAATAGATACACGATCAAGGTCAAACGACTGCAGAAGTGGATCGTAGCTTACATGAGTGTATCCGGCTACTAGTTTCCTTTTCAGTCAAAAAGCGCAAGCATGCAGTGGTTGCCTAGGGTTCGATAGTTGCACATAAATCTTGTTTATGAAGAATCTTTATTCTTAGATAAATAAAGCCTCACGTACTGTC